GCGGCACCCCCTCCGGGCCGCCCGGCCGCGCGGGGGGGAGCCGCTGCTCCGCCTGCGAGGCCGAGCTCTGCGCCCAAGGACTCGGCTGGACGGGGGCCAGGCCGGTTCCATTCCCTGCGTTTCCCTGCTCGGGAGCCAGCGCTGAGCTCAGTGCGACCAGGCGCCTCCGGAGCAGGTGCCAGAGGATCGTCACTGCTAACGAGCCCCTCGTTAGACAGGGAACACACTCCACCTATTCTACGGCATCTCTAACAGTGTCTGTGACCGTGCTCCCAAGGGAATTAAGTAGTGTGGTCATAACAACGGGTTTTTCTTCATGGGGGAGAGGCCGGGCCGCCCGCCCGTGCTGACCGCGCTGTTTGCTCTGCCAGCTCGTGCCCAGGCCCTTGCGCCGGCGCTGGGGCTGGTGCTACGGGCTGAGGTTTGCAGTTTGTTCACGCACGGATGCGGGTGGCAGCGATTCCCCTCGGCTCGGCTCCAGCCCGCTCTGCTCGCTCGCTCCATGGGCTGCTCTATGCCCTTTCCACCAGCGCAGCAGCTTCGGACTTTCACCCCAGATCCACCCCAAAGCAGCAGCGGGACCTGCCGCCTCCCACTCACTCCAAAAAAGCGCCAGGAATCCCGTCCACGCTCTGGCCCTCCCCTCTCCTGCCGCATTTTCCCCGAGCGCCGGGAAAGGCATTGCTGGAAAGCAGCACTGCCAGCCCGCGGGCTGCGGGGGCCTGGCGCCTTCCACCGAGCTTACGGAGCGCTGGGATTTTCCCGGAGCAGGGATCAGCACGTCCGTGCACGTACCATCCAGGAGCCAGGGCTGGCCCCGCCGCCTCTCCAGCTCCGCCGTCATGATGCGGGTGATGATGTGGTCGGGCACCAGCAGCCCTCGCTCCACGTACTGCTTTGCCAAGGCACCGACTTCTGCTCGAGACACAGAGAGAACAACACAGGAGACATTTCTACTAAAAAAATACACATATATGTATTTTTTATATGTATATATCCACGTTCCCGCTGAAGTCCTGCCCGCACTGCACCTCCTGCAGATCCCAGGCCCTCCGTGTCCATCCCCGGGCACCACGGGGAGAGCCCCCGGCGCATCCCGGTCCTGCGGCATCGCACCCTGTGGAGCGGCAGCCTGAGGACGAGGGGGCCCCTGAGGAACGTCCCAGCACAGAAATGGGCACTTTGCAACCACCCTCGCAGCTCGCCCCGTTCTGGCTCCTCCTGCAGCGTCCCCAGACCCCAAGGATCCACCCGGATCAGCGTGGGTGGCGCTTTGCCAGGCAGCGGCCCCCTGGATTTCCCTAACTGCGGGAGCCTGCTGGCGGTCAGTTTAACTGCACAGCAAAGCTCCTTGTCCCTTGTATTTATTAAAGGAAGCGCGGGTTGGTTTTTCCAACGCGTGGCAGCGGCAGCACTGGAAAAGGCCGGTCACCGGCACCGCCTCACCGGAGCAGCGGTGGCAGACGCCAGCGCGAGCCTTGTTTTAAGGCTGGCTTATGTACACCCCTGCTGCAAGGCTGCCCCCGGACGGAGGGCACGGAGCAGGGGGGCTGCGGGGCTGCATGGCCCCTCGTGGGCTTCAGGCTGGAAGTTGCCCCTGGTGTCCCCAGGCCCGATGGCATGGCCAGTCCTAGTGTCCCCTGCCTCGACCGGCCATCCCCAGTGCTGCATGGCCAGTCCTGATGTCCCCAACCCCAGTGCCATGGCTATTCCTGGTGTCCCAGTCCGATGGCACAGCCATTCCCAGTGTCCCCTGCCCTGCTGGCACCCTGATGTCCCCAGCCCCGATGGCAAAACCACCCTGTCCTCTGTCCCCACAGCACATCCATTCCCAGTGCCCTCATCCCGCAGCACGTCCATCCATGGTGTCCCCACCCCGCAGCACGTTCATCCTGTGCCCCCGTCCCGCGGCATGTCCATCCCGGTGTCCCCACCCCACAGCACGTCCATTCCCGATGTTCCCGTCCCGCAGCACTTCCATTCCCGGTGTCCCTGTCCCGCAGCACGTCCATTCCCAGTGCCCTCGTCCCGCAGCACGTCCATCCGCGGTGCCCCCATCCCACGGCACGTTCATCCCGGTGTCCCTGTCCCGCAGCCCGGCCATCCGCGGTGCCCCCATCCCACGGCACGTCCATTCCCGGTGTCCCCACCCCACGGCACATTCATCCCGGTGCCCCCGTCCCACGACACGTCCATCCCGGTGCCCCGTCCCGGCGCCCCGCGCCCTCACCGCCGCCGTGGA